ATAAAATAGCGATGGTGTGCATATTGTTTATTGTGCATACTGTTCGCGGTGTACACTGTTCATTGTTGTTCACGGTGTACACACTTGTCATGGTGCATACTGTTTGTGGTGCACACTGTTCATGGTTTTTCACGGTGTACAACATTGTTCATGGTGTACGTATTGTTCTAGTGTACACATTGTTCCTGGTGTACACCATCCACCATTAATAGTGTACTAGAAAGATGTATATTAGTGTAATAGTGAAACATGCCTATCTTGCTAATTATAAATAGTTTCTGCCTATTTCACAAATTATATAAGTTAAAATTGCATATTTGACAAATTTTTCCTTTAATCATCTAGACAATATCTTTAAAGACCATTGTTATAATTTAATAAATAACTATAGTTAAACATATACCATCAGGTTAACAAGAAAAATACCACTAGATGAGGAAATTATTGTTTTCATTACGTTAAAGACATTCTCTTGTATAAATTGTAATACATCTCTTTTGTCTAATAGCATAAATTCTTCATCTTCTCATTTTTGTGTAATAGCCAAAGACAATTTGGAACCTGATTTCCCCGAGCATAATATAATAATAAATTAATCATGTTTGAAACCTTTATTTACATGGTAAATACCAGACAAAATTTATCAATAACTTAAGACCTAATGAGATTAATCAAGTTTAACTTAATACTAAATGTTAATGAATCATGGCTTAAACTGTTGTAGCTGAATTATGATTAGACTAATATCATCCAAGGACCCTCTCTTACACGATAGCTCGGCTAGTTTCTTGCAAGCAGAAAGTGTCTTTGGATTCTCTACTCCTACGCAGTACGGTCGAACCACATCGACCGCCTCTTGGTTCGTTACCTATAACGTTCGCAAAAAAATCCGGTTCAACATTCAAACCGGTAGACTGAAAAAAGAATCAATTTTGAGACATTCCGAGTTATGCTTACCTTATCCCAAAGACCGTCAGATGCTAAGATCAAGAACTCCAATTCCGGTTTAATCCGTAATGTTCTGGTTTCCGGTTCAGCTATTACCCACTTCTTGAGATACCGGTCTCCAATTCCTCGTGAGACGGCTAATGTTCCTTGAATTCTCCAAACGCCGTTGCAGCAGTCAACATAACCACCCTACACACACACACAACGAAAGTCAGT